AAAGATATTAACGTACAGGAGCATCTTCAAGGTGCTAGCCGCCCCCTGGGTTGGTTGCCCCTTTTCTCCTCTCGTGCAAGTTGGCAGAGCCAGGTCTTAACTGCTTTCCAGAAGGTCAAGAGAGAAGGGAGAGGTGAGGACCTCTGGGGGGAGGGCACTCTGGCGTGCGTTGTTGTCAGGAGCATGAAATTTCGTTATAAACACACTTATTGGTTGAAAAATGAATTTTCTATTACCGTCATATTTGCAAATGGTCACTAATTGAGGTAGTTCCTAAACGATGAGTGAGTGTAATATTGGAATCAGGTGAACAAATTGAGTAGAATTGCCAGCTTGTTCTCTTAACTTTTCAACTCTTCCTGCAAACTATCTGTACTGCCTCCAGCACATTGGGTCCTTACGTGCTCACCATTGCCAAACAAAGCAAAATGAAACCCAACTTGGAACCGAATTACATTTAATGTATGCAAGTTAACTCATTCTAATAACAACATTCTGGGTTTTTTTTTTTTTTAATGCTTCCAAGCTTTTATCAAAGGAGTGTTACTCTCTTTTGAAGCAAATAAGACTTGAAAAGGCCAGATTCTGGGAATGGTTTGCAGAATAATTAGGATGAGCACCCATACTTTTTTTTTTTGTTTTGATGCAACCTGGAGATCAGATCAGAGAGCAAGGGATTTCTATTTAAATGGGCTATACCAGCTTTGGACAGTTTCTCAGTACTGTAGATGAATTTTAGATGAATTAATCTATACCAGATCAGAAGTAGGCAGTCCTGATGTTTTTTAGATAACATCTACAGTTCCTTATCAGTGGCCATGCAAGAAGACAGATTGGAATTCCACACACCTGCAGTAGCTGTCGGCAGCTTTTTCATTCAGTGAGAACCATCATGAAATTTCATGTGATGGCATAGGCTTCCCCAGTTTTTTAAAAAGTTAAAATTATATTTTAAAATAATTTAAAAATCTTGATAGGGTAGAGCTGCAGTTGTATCATTCAATGCTAGAAAAGTCTTTTAAAAATTATAGCAATGTATGTTCAGTACACTATCTAAATTTGGATTTTGTGAAGGATTTATAAATTTGAGCTGGATTCTGTATGCTACTCCTATGTCCTGAGTGAAATTTAATGGATTTTTTTTTTCATCTACTTTGTAAAGGTAATAGACAAGGATGTCTAGTTTCCCCTTTGATTTTTAATATTTGTTTTGAACCCTCAGTTTGTGCTGTTAGACATTATAATATTTGTGGCTTATATCATAATTCCTTAGAATATACATTAATTATATGGTGACATTTTATTATTTGTATCTGTACTAGATGCCTCAATTCCAGCTTTATTTAAAAAATGTGTTTGGGAAAATAGCAGAATATTCAGTTAACTGGTTCGAGTTGGAATTGATTCCAGTGGGTAAAAATCTCTCTGTTAATTCAATTAGTTATCAGTTTCATATTTCTAACTGTATTGACTCAGTTTCAACTTTATTATGACCTTGAACTCGCAAATAACTATATTTACTATCAGGGTTCTTACTTCATGTGATGTTTCGCTTGTAAATATGAATAAAATATGTAAAGAGATGTCTTTGAATCTTGATAGGTGACAGTCTTTAAATTTTATCCTTTGAAGCAAAATTTGACCCTTAAAATGAATGTATTTCCTAGAATATTATACATTTTGCATAGAATTCCTATACTGTACATGCATCTGTAAAATATGAAGGGGAATCTTCAGTTCCAGAGATATATATTTTAAAAGATACTGTTGTCTATTAAAAAGGTGGAATTTGGTTTTCCAAATCTTGAACTGCATTATTCTGCATATCTCTTGGCTAATATCAAATTTTGGATGGCTCCCCCTGGTGGAAATTCTCCTTCTTGGGTCCCTCTAGAATATTCATATATTATACCCTTAGTTAATTGGAATGTTTTAGGATGGAAATATAATAGATATAAAATAGTTTCCCTTGCTATTACATCAATTTGAAGATTGTGGTACATTATTACGTTTGGATGCTTTTGCTTATCCTAAATTGACACTGTGGGGTAATCGAGATCTTCGAATTAATTAAAGAAACCTCCCAATTATGCGGAAAATTTTGATGGGAGCTAAAACTTTATACTATGGATCAATTAGATAAAATGATGAATTTTTATCATGTTCCACTTTAAAGGACAAATATTATCTGCCCAATATAGTTCAATGACAGTCTTTACAATTACAACATCTGTTCATGTCCCTGTTTGCACCTGCAGTATTTTCAGCCTTGGAAATACCTATTCTACTACAAACAGTTATTAAATGTAAGACACAAATCCCCCTACAATTATTCTTTATAAAATGCTGTTAGTGGTGAATCAATTTGGAATAAAGAATTGGACATTCCTTTTTTTGCCCTGACAGTGGGAAGCAATGTTAACATCAGTATCCAAAAAGGTCTTGGGTTATGTCTTATTCAACAAACAATAGTATTTCATATATGTTGGACTCCATTGTATTTATATAGAAAAAGTATATAAATCATCATGTTGTTGGAAATGCAGCGAGATTATAGTTTGATTTAAATATATGTTTGTGCAGTATCTTATAATTGTTCTATTTTGGGAGGAAGTTGTTACGTGTAATTCAACTTTCAGACAAGATTTAATATTCAGATGTTCATATTCCTGTTGCATGGAAATTGACATCTGGGCAAAAAAAGTGGATTCTCCATGCACTATTTTTTCAGTGTTGGAAACTACACAATGGTCTGCTGGGTTGATGTTATTAGCAACTTGTGAATGAATCCTTTACCAATGTAGATTGGCTATGTATGATAATAATGGAATATAGTTACCATTCATTAAAATGCTTATGTAGCATATGTACCTGTGGATATGTGCACTGTGTATGTTTTGGTTTTCCCCCCATCTTTTTTAAAATACCAGGCTTTGTTTGTGTGTGTGTGTGTGTGTGTGTGTGTGTGTGTCTTTTCTGTATTCAATTAATACAAGCAAAAAAAAAAAAAGCCAGTGAGAATATTGGCATTGTGTTACCATCCCCAGTCTGCAGAGTGTCTTTGGTTCACATCTTGCAAGCAGTGGCCAAATTGAACTAATAACGGTATCATCCTGAAATATGTTCATGCCTCATTCCACCTTAAATGCAACCGCCTGGCCACAGTTATTTCAGCAGTGGATATTTGACATATTTCTGGCCTGTTATGGCTGCTTTTCTGTGCAGGAAGAGCACTTTTGTTCTGTTAGCTATAATCTTATTTTGCTCCTTTCAGAAATGTGAACACTGTAACAGGCAGGGTGCTACTATTCCATGCCATGCAGAAGGGTGCCAGCGCCACTATCACTTTCCCTGTGCAGCGGCTAGTGGCTGCTTCCAGTCCATGAAGAGTTTGAAACTTCTGTGTCCAGAGCATCTCGATCAGGCTGTACAGATGGGTAAGTCTTTGGATTGAGTCACTTGGATTGAGATGGGTGGCTATAGAAATGGCATACATAAAACAAAATAAAATAAAATAAAGTCTTTGCAGGACTGTGCCAAGAGCAGTTGGCTCTTGTAAGTGTTTATCCATGGCTTGCTTGGCTCGTGACAGAATCTACTCTTTGAATTGTGCGTAGCCAAATGGAAGTGACTTTAATGGGTACAGTTCGCATGAGAGGATTAGAAGAAGAGAGGTCCGAAGCGAAGGAGGTGTTTCTGGATCTGGCTGTAAATAGAGGGTTAGGATTAATGGGAGAGGACTTGACTCCAGTATCTTTTTCTTTAGTGGCTTCAGTCCTAGTACCTTTTCTTTTCGCAGAGGATTCACGCTGCATGGTGTGCGATGCTCCAGGGGAACTTCGTGATCTACTCTTCTGCACTAGCTGTGGCTTGCACTATCATGGCACCTGCTTGGAGATCACAGTAACGCCACGGAAACGCTCGGGCTGGCAGTGTCATGAATGCAAGGTTTGCCAAACCTGCAGGTGCGTGTAAAGGCCCTCAGCATGTGCTGAGTACCTCAGGAAGGACTATGAGGGCACATTGATTTAACTGGGATATGTGATATCTCTTCCTTTTAGGCTGTCTGGTGAGGACAGCAGGATGTTAGTGTGCGAAGCCTGTGAAAAATGCTACCACACCTACTGCTTGAAACCTGCTATCGAGAGCCTCCCCACAGACTTCTGGAAGTGCAAAGTAAGCAATGCCTTCTTGAACAGATAAGCAAAAAATGTTGTACCAAGTTGTCATAATTCCCCTCTTCAATCCTGAATCTTACAGTGTCAACCACATTAAAGAAATGTGCAGATTTGCTGATTTTGTTCATTTGCTTTGGACAGATATTTGAGGAGAGTGGTGGCAATGCAACTTTTCCTTCTGTCCAGTGGGTATCTGGAGAGAATCCCATAATTTTATCTCTATGTTCACTGGCCTAAGGATTAGAAACAGTGTTCTTACATTGTTATGAACTTCTTCCTTAACTAAATACATTCCTTGTAAATTACTGTCTTTAAGCTCCTACCATGTTTGTAGTCATGGGCCTATTTTGGATATGACATGAACGACACTTCAGTGTGAACAAACCTCCCTGCCCCCTCCTTTTTGACACAGTTGCAAAAGGTGATTGTAACATTCACTTCCAAGTTTTAACTAACTGAAGCTCATGACTCCATTCAGAAAGAGAAGGTATTGCTTAATATTGGTTAAAGTTTATTGAAAGAAGCCAGGAACAAAATGGATTACAGTCCTGGCTCTTACAGTGCTCTATTGTTAAAATTAACTGGAGTTATTACAGTGATAAACCCTGCTTAGTTTAAAGTGTAAAGCAAATCCTTCTGGTTTCTTTTTCATGACACTTCTGAAAGGGGGTGAGGGGTTTAGATGCAAAACTGAGGCTTTCATGGGTTATATTTGACCTGCTCTATAGTGTATATAAAGGGAAATGCTGGGAAATGTTGATAGATCTGTTGCGTGGGGATTTTGAGCAATACTACTTTGGCAGCAAAGAAAACCATCCATGAACATTCAGAAATTCTCATAAAAACAAGCTGTGAATGTCAACAGTTTTAAACGGTCTAAAACAGCAAAGGCGAACCTATGACACATGTCAAAGGGGACACGCCATGACTTTTTGGGCGACATGACAGTGCTCACGAACACCCGAAAACAACTATCCTCCTTGTTTGAGTTTGGTAACTGAGTTTGTTTTACTCATATTGCATCTTTGTAGTTGTTTGACATTTCTTTATATAATACATAGTACCACATGATTGGACTGTATTTTTTTAAAAATAAATGAATATGTAAAGAATTGTTTCTGTTTTGTTCGGGCGGGAGGGCGACACACCAGCAGAGTCAAGTTAGGCATTTTCTGAATTTTTGACACGCCGAGCCCAAAAGGTTCGCCATCACTGGCCTAAAAGATTGTCCAGAGTCCAGATCGTTTCTAAATGTAAGGCAACGCACCATGTTTGGCTGTGGCTCCTTACTTTAAGAATTCTTATCTTGAGCCTGAGCGAAACTGGTTCCCCTCCTGAAGAGCTGGAAATGGTTACATTACAAGATCACAGAACCTTGAAGTCTTTGAAAGAGTTGGTAATGGGAGCAGAATTTTGAGACTCTTGGCTGTATTGTTAAGTAAGTTCCTCTCCCTTTGCTGTTGCAGAGGCATCCTAGAAAACATCCCCACAGCACATCAGGATTCAGAGAGTGAGACTGCTATACTTTACATGATAGTGCAGTTTGTTGGGTTCTTCAAATTGGGCAAACCTCAGATTTTTACTGCATATGTGGATTGAAAGCATTTACATAAATTAATCTCTCTGTAGGGGGGGAGGGAAGCCCATTCCATTGTGACTAGGCTAGGGAACTCCTGCAGTGGGGATGAGAGGTTTCCTCACAGAAGCATTTTGTACTAGAATTCCTGATCTATTCCATCTTTACCATGGTTCAACTTACACAAATTCTACAGTGCCTACATAAGAGAAAGTTCTGTATGCTGTGGCTAGTCTTCCCCAATCCAGGCAAATGGAATAGACTGCCCCAATGAAAGAGAAAATCTTCGCTCCCTAGTAGGCCTACATTCATTTCTCAGTGCTTCTGTAGGGTCCAGTTACTTGCACTACCAAAATGCACATTACTCTGTCCAAGTTTATTAGTCACAATCTTAGGAAAATCAAATAAAAGGCTGTGTACGAAAGACCCTCATGCTGCCTTTTCCTATTCAGAATGCCTGTATTTCTCCTTTCCTCCAGAGCTGCCGCGTTTGTTCTGACTGTGGCTTCCGCCCATCCTCATTGGAGTCCAGCATCCAGTGGTACGAGAACTACTCTCTGTGTGAAGGATGTCGTGAGCAGCGCTGCAACAAAGTTAACAGCACAGAGGCTGTGCAGCACAGACAGGAGTGAGTTGCTTCAGCCTGAACTAATCCTCATCTCTTTGGCCTCAGTTAAATGGGTTGTATGCAGTGATGGCCCACCTTGCTGTTTGGTGGTGAGGGTGATCACAAGATATAGTTGCGCTAAAAGTAAATTTAAAATCTCATGTACTAAGCCACAGGACCTTTCTCTTCTTGCGTCCATCATATGCATACATCTTTTCATGTGACCTTTTATTCTCTTAGACTTTTCAACTTTTTCTTGAGGATTTTATCAGTTCCATCCAACTCTTCTTCTCAACTGTTCACTCTTCTCTCCTATATTGCTTTTGCGATTCAGTCCACATTCATTCTTTGTATATGACTGAACTATCTTAAACTACCTTTTATATTCAGTCTATTGCAATTTGGTCCACATTCACTCATCACCTTTTCATTCTTGACCCTACTTGCCCTGTTTTACCACCCACACTTAAGTACCCCATTCCTACTACATTCAGTGTACTTTTGTGTTTTCCTCACTGTATAACGGAGCAGGCACACGCTTTTATACACAACCATTTTTAGTTCTTTAGTTCTTCTTTAAACATTCATTCTTCACAACAGACCATATGATTTTCACTACTTTTCTACCAGTATTTACACATCTTAAGGTATCTCATATCTTCTACCTGTTTTTACTTTTCACAATGTATTTTTAACTTGCAATCATTCACTCTATTTTCACTGTCAAACACAACTACTTTGGTCTTTGTTGCATTAATTTTCAGAACCATGTTCTTTGTTGCATCATAGAGTCTAATATTCATGATCAATCATTTGGGTTTGCAGCTGACAACATGGCATCAGCTACCTACAAAAAGACAACATGGCATGTGATTCCTTGTACATTTGTCCCCAAATATTTCATTACATATTATAAAACCCATATCTTTACCTTAACTGATGCACTTCTTTCATGTGGAGAGAATTGACAATATTTGTGCAGCTAGGAGAGATGCGGTCCAACTCTGCCAAGGTGACTGGGTGACCGCTATGTGAACATCCTGCAAAGGGATATCTTTTGCCCTTCTGTCTAAGCAGTGATGGAACTGGACCTTCTGATAATGATCTGGGCATCCAGATGCTTCTGGCAGAAGTTATGTTTTGACATTTTCTCAGTTTATAAGATTTGTTTTTTCACCTGGAGTACTACTAAAACTGAGAGAGTATCCCCCCCTTGTGGACACGTAAAGCTCCTACACGCTTTTCTTCCATTGGCGGTAGGGGTTCCCATACTGTAACTGAATTTCCTGTGCTGTATGAGTACAAAGGACATTGATAGTAAGTTCAGGTTTACATCCCAGTCCAAAGTGCTTTCAGGAGAGTGAAAGTTTCTCTTCACTCTTTTAAATGAAATGTTGGGTTTTACTAGGTCAAGGAAAGCAGAAATTTTGTTTCTTATTCATATTGGCATAGATTTATTGGACATTAGTCATATATTCTTTGCTCCAGGTATGACTGTTAGAGCAAATGACTAATACTGTCCAATAAATCTTATGCCAATATGAATGGGGAGAGACTGAATCTCTACTTTCCTTGACCTCCAAATATGATTGTTGAGATAATACTTTGGACGTGTTAGGCAAAGACCCAGCTCCCTTGAGAAGTACATAATGCTGAAAAAGGTGGAAGGAAAGAGAAGAAGAGGACAACCTGTAGCAAAGTGGATGCACTCAGTTACAGTGATGACGGCTGGACTCGGGTGCACCAGGAAGAACTGAAGGCCCTGGTTTGGAACAGATCATGCTGGAAAAAGTCTATGTGGTTGCTAAGAATTGACACTGATGGCACATAATCTGTGAGTGACTATTGAGAGAGAATATGGCAATGGCTTACAAGCCTGAGTTATAACGGTTATTATGTCCACCACAATATTCACCAAGTAGCCTTAGGCTACCATTCTCTATCCCTCTAAAGCTGCAACACAGGAGTAGTAATAAAGGCACGCTTCATAGGATTATTATAAGGAATATTTATAGAGAAATCTGAAGTGAAAGCTACTTGTAGTCTCAAACAATTCATCTCAAATGCTTCCTCTTGAACACTTTAGGCATATTCCCCCCGCAAGCAGCATCCCCACAACTGACAAGGTGGCTTCCCCCCAACCCCTGGAAGAAGTTGGTGTGACCAGTCGGGAACAACCAGAAGGTAACGTCAGCCCTGTCAACATGCAACAAGAAGAGCAAGTGCCGCTGGAGACTGGCCAGCAGCCCCTTGGTGAGTCACCTTCTTTCTACTTACATATATACCTTTCATGGCTGTATTGAATCTGAGAAGAACCACCATTTGTTCATGCTTTTTACAGCAATTAGCTAAGCTGAAACATGACATGTGCCATAATTATACACGAGTTTCAGTACAGATCTTACTTGGCAAATTGTTTTTGTTTGTGCCTTGGTGCTTTAGACTGCAAACTCTTGCATGGATAGACTCAGAAATCATTGAACAACAATCCTAGAGCAAGAAAACTTAGCTGCTATCCTGTTTTCCCTCCCTGCATTCATTTATCCATGAGTTGTAGATCAGAAGAAACCTTGAAGTCCAGCTTTGTGAAGAACCAGGCAGGGGGATAGAGTAGATTTGAGCTGTGTGCAGGTTCTTTTAAACAAGCTGCCCCGTGGTACATGTTTCTATTCCAGGTGCAGACAGACCTTTAGAACTGTGCAGTGAGGATCTGGAGGCCACTGTAGGGCAGGAGCAAATGGAAGTGGAAACAGCATTAGAGCCTGAAAAAGCCCCCTCTCCACCACCCCCTCCCCCAGTACCACCAGGTGAGTTCAAGTGCCATATTTTGGATAGTGCTAAATTTTAGAATACAAAAAACTTTCCATCAAAGTCAAGTCAGATTCTACATGCTGAATTAATCTTTCAAATATTCAATTTTGTATAGACTTCTTTTTCCTTAAGTTATGGCTAGTTGATTTTGGTTTATATCATCTTGATGTATTCCTATCAAAAATGCCATCTGATCTAGCATTCTGCAAAACAGCATAGCTCAAGCTCTGCCAAAAAAGCCCAGTTCAAATTGTGTAGCCAGGACACACAGTAAATTCGGAAATAGAGATATACAGGTAGTCCTTGCTTAACGATTGTTCATTTAACAATGGTTCAAAGTTATGACGGTCTTGGAAAGGTTGCCTTATGGCCCGTAAAGCACTTCCGGCTGTCGTAAAATATCGCACCGCCCCACCACCCGACTGGTTGCCAAGCGCCCAGCGATTACCAAGTGCCCATTTACAACCGGTTGCCAAGCGCCCAGTGATTATGTGATTGCCATTTGCAATCTTCTCTGCCGACCTCCCCATTGGAAGCCAGCAGGGAGGCAGAGAAGGTTGCGAGCAGAGGGAATGCGGCAGTGTGTAGGAATGGAGCTCAAATCCTGAAGATTTGAGCTCCATTCCTCCAGCCCCACCAAGGATTTCCCCTCCATTTGTGACAGGGAGGGGAAACCCTTCAGCAGTGTGAAGGAATGGAGCTCAAATGTTCAGGATTTGAGTTCCGTTCCTTCCCACCGCCAAGGGATTTCCCCTCCCAACTCAGCAGTGGGAAGGAACGGAGTTCAAATCCTGAACATTTGAGCTCCGTTCCTTCACACTGCTAAGTGAGGAGGGGAAACCCTTCGGTGGTGGGAAGGAACAGAACTCAAATCCTAAACATTTGAGCTTTGTTCCTCCAGCCCCAGGAAGGATTTCCCCTCTGTTCACCCAGGGGAGGGTAAGCCCTTCAGCAGGCTTTAGGAACGTTTCAGAGCAAAAGGGTAGAGCTGAAACCCTTCTGGCAGGCAGCCCTTTCGTTCTCAAACAGCTGCCTGCCAGGAGGATTTCAGCTCTGCTCTGAGCTGAAATCCTTCAGCGGACAATTCTTTTGCTGTGTCTGCTTAACAACCTGGGAGATAGCTTAATGACTGCAATCGGGAGTGTGCAGCTGCTTTGCTCAGTGACTGAGATTCCAATCCCAATTGTGGTCATTAAGTGAGAACTACCTGTATACAGATCAGCTGTTATACAACAAAATGGAGAATAGACAGATTTGGGATTGTTAAAAGAAGAAAGAAAATGTGTAGTATAAAACGTATAAATAAGTCATAAACAGGAAGACTGGGGCAAGAATGTACAGTAGAAGCAATTAAGCAGCTTCTCAAGGACATTGATATTCAAACAGACTTGATCTCCTCAAAGATGTGTTTTTGTTAGCCCTCGCACTCCTACAGACCTGCTAGATATTTAAACCAAATTGCTGTTTCTAAACTAAGGAGGGCCCTAACCTTAGCATGGTTCAGTGTACATTAGTGGTTTTAGAGGAGAGATATAAAGGATTCCATTTAAATCCAGACTCTGCCCATATGGTGAAGGAGCCACAGAAATCTCCAAACATGCCTTACTATGCTGTCCATTTTATGCCAACGCTCACTGTGAGCTGCTAATTCTACACCTAATTAAATATACTGGCCACTCTGATCAGTTGTTTTTAAACTTCTTACTCTCAGATTCAAATGACTCTATCATGACTCTGTTTCCTTAAGTGTGTCCAAGTTCTATCATGTAACATATAAGATGTGCAGATTGACAAAATCTATATCAATTTTACGTATCCAAGTCTTTTATGTACTGGTCATTGACTGTAACAAATATTCTGATTCTTGATTAGTAAACATGAAGAAATTGAGTTTATTGTAGTAGTGGCACAGGGTAGTGGCACAAAATGTAATGGAAACTGATACCATAAATGATAGCAAGAAAGTAATACTTTCTCATCATGTGGAAGTCTAAGAAAGAGCTGATTACAAATGGCCAGTAACCAACCTTATACTGGACCCAGCTACCTACCATTTCAAAATAAAGATTCAAAGAATTTAACTAAAACTAGCAGTCAGAGTGTTTGAGGAATCTTCCTGGTTTAAAAAAAAGACGAGTGGATAGGCAGCCTGCTGGTCTCCAAATTGTGGACTCCAATTTTTAGAAGAGAATAGGAGAATTGTACCCCAAAATATTTGGGGGAGGCATGGCTCATTTACTACCTTACTTAGTGTTGTATGTTGGAGGTGCCATATTTAGAATCTATATATTTATATTTATATTTACATTTACATTTTTATAATTTATATATTTTTAATATTTATAGTATATATTAATATATATATTTAGCCATTGTAATAGGAAAATTTCAGGAGCTGTGTACCTGTTACAAAGCATATAAGTCAACTTCTGCAGATTGGTTGGGAACGATTGGAAGGCACCAGGTTAAGGAAAGTTGTAGAATTGAAGCTTTTTACATGACAATATTCATATGTGCAAGAGTTTCCTGTGGCTTGTAAGTTAACTAAGCCTGGCCTATTGTCCAGTATTTTAGAGATGTTGAGGATAGACTTAGTTCATCATTTTGACTCTCTTAGCGAGAACATGTTTTTCCCATGTGTGAGGTTTGGCTCCTTTCTCTCTGAGTTACTTACCTTCCTCTCGTCTTCTTATATCCATCCCTCAGATCCGGTATTTTCTGCTCACCCAGAGGAGTCCCCGCTTGGTGCCAAAGAGCATCCTGCCTTTGAATTGCTGCCCACAGAGCCGGAGCCCACAGAGAGTCACATTGCACCTGCACCCTTGGCCCAGGAAACAGAGTCCTCTCCAAGGAGTCCTCTGCTTGGTGTGCTCCAAGATGGTTCTTCAGAAACTGTTGAAGAAGGAGAGCCCAGTGAAGAGCCCATGGACACGGAGGTGGAAGTGCCAGGCCTTGACAGCCCTGACAGGAATAGAATCCAGCCCAACCAAGAGGAGGAGGAAGAGGAGGAGGAGGAGGACGAGGTAGAGGTAGAGGTGGCAACAGCAACCAAGATGGAACATGAACAGAGATTCTCCCCACAGCTGAGTGAAGAGGAGGCATTAGATGAAGGGCATGTCACAGTTGGATCAGAACCCAGTGAGATTCACCTCAACTTTGCCAATGAATCTAAGTGCTCTCCTTCCCCAGTGGAGGTGGAATTGCTGGGCAGAACGTCTCTTCCAGTGGAAGCCTATGGATCTGCCATCCCACTTGAGGGAGGGGCTGTTGGAGAGGAGGAACTAGGACCAGCACCCCCATCCCCAAGGCCTCACCACTTAGTGAAATCGGATATTGTGAATGAGATCTCAAACCTGAGTCAGGGTGATGCCAGTGCCAGCAGTTTTCCAGGCTCAGAGCTCCCATTTGCCTCCCCATATCATGAAGGTGGAGGCTCACTTTCCCTCGAGATGGCTGGCTTAACTTCCACAGACATCAGTCTGCAGAGGGAAGATGGAGCCTCTTTGCCCCTGGGTGAAATGGATGATTCCCTGCTATATGATGTAAAAGGCGAATGTGAGAAGGGACGACGGCGTAGCTCCCCAGCCCGTTCTCGTGTCAAGCAGGTAACTGGATGCTTTCTGCTGGCTAATTTTGAACGTTATTTACTGTTTCTTTCCCACACTGTGTAATCCCCACCTGCATGTAGGGCGAGTCCTGAAGGAAGGGTGGTGAAATGGAGCATGTCTATAACTCCCCTATATCTCCAGCCATTATTCTCCCCCCTTTTTTTCTTTTGGTCATAGGGTCGCAGCAGCAGTTTTCCTGGGAGGAGACGGCCTCGGGGAGGGTCTCACACGGGCCGAGGGCGGGGCCGATCACGTTTGAAATCCACCACTTCTTCCATCGAGACACTGGCGGTAGGGGCAGCTTTGAGAAGGCAGGATAATATTTGGGACTGGGATTGGATGGGATGAGCGGGATCCAGTACAAGAGACCTTACAGTTGCCATAAATGTGAGACTAGCTAATATAGAGAGCAAGCAAGGCCCTCCATTTTAATTCTTTGTGTGGCTCAGACATAGAGGCAGGGAGAAAACCTTTATTGATCCACCTCCAGTTGACTGGCCCTGTACTCATACCAATAATGATTGGAGCCAGTAGTCTGAGTTTTCTCATCTCCCTTCCTTATTTTGAATGGGTTTTCTAGGTGATTCTTCCTCGGTTGGCTGGTTGTATTCTAGCTATAATAGGGCTTCTCCCCTTTTAAGTGTTTTGGAGCAGGGCGTTGTCAAGAGATGGAGAAGTTATACCTGTTGAAATCTTTGCCTTCCTCTTGTGCTCTTTAAAGGATAGGATTTGGAGCAGGGACATCCTACCAAGGAGTACCACCCTATTGAAAGAGGAGGGCAGATTGTTTGAGTAGTTGGTAGGTCTCCTCTTCTGTAGTATGGGCAGGGACCTGGTGCATCTTTAGCAGGCTGAAGCTATGTGTCCATGTGCACTCAGCTGTGAATACTTGCTAAAACAGCAGTGCGTAAGTTCTGTCAGCTGAAGGCCACAGCAGGTTCTGTGCAGCATACCTAGGGCCACATTCCCAAAATGAAATGCATTTGGGAGCAATGTCTCGAGAATTTTAAGGGGTAAAATAGGTACCTTAAACCCCATTATGATCAGCTCCAATATAGGCAAAAAAGACCTGAAAAATTTGGCTCTTCCTGTTCTTGGGCTGGAAATGGGATGGCAGGCCACACTTTTTGCATGTCTGTTCTAAATGGCATTTCAAGCATTGGCAGCAATGCCTTACCTTGGGTTTCTGCACTCTCTTCTACAAGCTTGCTGATATTGACAGCTCCCCAAGCAAAGAGGAGGAAGAGGATGATGACGACACAATGCAAAACACAGTGGTGCTCTTCTCCAACACAGACAAATTTGTGCTAATGCAGGTGAGTCTGCTAACTTCAGTTGATTTCTAATTGCATTAATTAAATCAGTGGAAGGAAAGATGCACCCAGATTGATTTCTTTTGCTCGTATGGGTAGGACGCAAGGGAGGGCTGAAAAAAGTGCAAATTTTACTATTGTAAACCCTGTACCATGCAGAGCTCTGGGGCGGTGCTCCCTGCTTCAAAGCGGGAGGAAGTTGCCTTCCAGGGGGAAGCTCTGTCTGTTTCCAATAAGATATCCTGTAGCCGACTGATAGCACCCAGCTGAAGTCAGTATCATCTTGTCTTTCTAAACTTGGATTTTCCACAGTTCTGATAGGCTAGGTTACTGTGGAAGTGTATTCAGTTTCTCACATTATAATTGGATGTGTTCCATTCTTGCATGATTTGCTTTGTTAGAGAACGAGTTTTTCATTCTAGTGGTAAATGGCAGATTCCATTGACCACTCTGAAATCAGGGAAATTTTTCAACTGAGATATACTTGGAACTTATGATTTAACCAGTTAAAAGCCAGATTGCTGTGCAGCATCAACTTTTTATGGCCAGCTACCAGTGTGCTATGACAGCAGGAAGGGGTGCTAATGAAATGCCTACCTTCAGCAAAGTAGGCAGGAATATTAATATGACAAAACAGTAGGAGTGGATAAGTGGAAGCTTTCCCTAGGCTCAGAGAGCCCTGGTTGTTCTTAGCCTGATTGTTCTTCTTTCCTGGATAGGACATGTGCGTAGTGTGTGGTAGTTTTGGCCGTGGTGCAGAGGGCCATCTTCTGGCTTGCTCTCAGTGTTCTCAGTGTTACCATCCTTATTGTGTAAACAGCAAGGTAAGACCCACTTTTAGCTGCTCTCCTTCCCCAAAGTATAAAATATGGACTTAACAGCTTCAATTTCTGCCCGACATATCCCTAGTTGTGCAATGCAATTGGGTTTGCATGTTTATGTGATATATATTGTGCACCCCTCTCCCATAAGTAACATGGCAAACAAAGGATGAGAATTAGAATTCAGCAATCTGGAGTATATCAGAGGAGGAGAGTTTTGGAAAATAGGGTTCCACATCTCAAGTGTGGTACATGTCATTTGGTTTCTCATGGGATTGGGGGCTTGCCTGTTTGGAGAGAAATAATAGATATACAGGAAGGATTGGGGTGGGGATCATTTTTTTTTTAAAGGAAACTGAGTGTCACATATTCTGGCCTGTGGAAGTCCTATTAGACCCCTAGAAGTTGAACTATAAGAATCTAGCGTATCATTGGAATTTATTAGGAAATAACTCAGATTTCTTTAAAAATCCATTTATATGAGATAAGGAGAATTTTTACCCTATTCTCTATCATCTTGCACAGTTATTAGGCTTAAAGAGCTTATCTGTGCTTATCTATGTGCAGTGAACCCTATGGGATAGCAGTCACACAACTAGTTTATAAGCAATAGGTCCCAAACATCCCATCCCATTGTTATTTTACTGCAGCTTCCACCATCCTTAGCCAGTATGGGGCATGGTGCCTTGGGATGATAGATCTTTTGTCCTACAACATTAGCAGGCAAGGCTGAGAACCACCAACAGAAAGGGGTGCCAGATGTTCTGAAATCCATATGCCTTGGATCCCAGTAAAACAGCATTGCATGCTCTCAATAGCCTCTTCCACCAGCACCCACCAATCTTTCAACTTTGTATAGGTCTCCCTTTATACATGTCTGTCTCTCTTTCTGTGTTAAGATTACTAAGGTGATGCTGCTCAAGGGTTGGCGTTGTGTGGAATGCATTGTGTGTGAGGTGTGTGGCAAAGCATCTGACCCCTCCCGCCTTCTGCTCTGCGATGATTGTGACATCAGCTACCACACATATTGCCTGGATCCACCTCTCAACACAGTGCCCAAGGGCGGCTGGAAATGTAAATGGTGAGAGACAGATCAAAATTTCTGTAGGGAGCTCTGAAGGGCAGATTACACTGTATGTTAACCCGTAATATGATTAATTTGGGTTGTTGGTTTAGCATAATGTATTTACCCATGTGTTGTAACTTAGCATATGCAAGAACAACGCCTCTGATTATTTAATGAATCATGCTTTAATAGTGTTTCATTAGC